AAGCGTGATCATCGCACTATTAAGAGATTTGTGGCTGATTCAGAGCACAGACGGGTTCGTGCAGATAAAGGCACATTGAGGAAGATTTCTGCCAGATCCATGCATCGGATCAAGAGAGCAGCTGCTAAAATACCATTACATAGCAGCAAACAGATATTTGAAGCTGCTGGTGCCTCTGGAGTCCCACGGACATCAAGGTGTAGAGTCCTCCAGAGTCTTGTAACTGTGCATAAACCTTCTATTCGGCCACCACTAACCAATGCTCACAAGCAGAAACGGCTGCACTGGGCAGAAAAATACATGAAGACTAATTTTCAAACAGTCCTGTTCACTGATGAGTGCCGTGCAACCCTGGATGGTCCAGATGGATAGAGTAGTGGATGGTTGGTGGACGGCCACCCTGTTCCAACAAGGCTGCAACGTCAGCAAGGCTGTGGTGGAGTCATGTTTTGGGCCAGAATCATGGGAACAGAGCTGGTCAGCCCCTTTAGGGGCCCCGAAGGTGTAAAGATGACCTCTGCAAAGTATGTGGAGTTTATGACTGACCACTTTCTTCCCTGGTACAGAATAAAATCATCTTCATGCATGACAATGCACCATCTCATGCTGCAAATAATACCTCTGCATCAATGGCTGTTATGGGGATAAAAGGAGAGAAAGTCATGGTGTGGCCTCCATCCTCCCCTGACCTCAATCCTATTAAGGACCTTTGGAGCATCCTCAAGCAAAAGATCTATGAGGGTGGGAGGTAATTTACATCCAAACAGTAGCTCTGGGAGGCTATTCTGACATCTTGCAAACAAATTCAAGCAGAAACTGTCCAAAAACTCACAGGTTCAATGGATGCAAGACTTGTGAAGCTGCTACCAAATAAGGGGTCCTATGTTACAATGTAACGTGACCTGTTAAAATGTTTAAAAAGTTAAAATGTTGTTAAAAGTTTGATTGAAATAGCTTTTGATTTCACAAAATATGCTGCAAACACAACAGATAACAATTTTCAGTTCTTTACAACCTATAAAGTGTTTTGAAACTTACTGTGCGTAATAATTTGGAACAGTGCATTGGAAGTGTTTTATGTTTAAAAAAAATACTGTTATCATTAGGAGGTTTGTTCAATAAAATGTGAATTGTACTCTTAATAGTTGATAACATGAGAATTATGCTGACTGTTATTTACATCAATTATTTAGGTAAATGAGAAAAATATAATTTGCATAATCTTTTGGAACACGGTGTACAAAAAACACAGCTTTAGGCGCATTTTTAACCAGTTGCCCTCCACCCTATAGCAGAAATACAGGGCAGTAGGTATATGTAATTTGCATTTCCAGGTAGGGGGCGTGTACGCCACCCTACCTGCGCTGCATTGGCGGCTACGGATGTCAATCACTGGGTTCCGGCCGGCACCTGGAGATCGCCGAGAAAGAGTTGCCAGGGAGAGATCTGTGTGTAAATAACACAGGTGTCTCTCATGCCAGAAATAACATGCTGCTGTGTATTTCTCTTCCAAGATGAACCAATTACACGCTATCACTTTGCATCTGATATTCCTTTATTCTTATTTCTGCAGCATGTATGTATGTATACTGTATAACTGTATGTGTATATGCATATGCTGCTGTGTATTTCTCTTCACAGCTGAGAAATACACAGCAGCATGTCTCCCTAGTAAAACGCACACTTAGTAAAACAGCACACAGTTAACCCTTTGATCGCCCCAGATGTTAACCTCTTTCTCCCAGTGTCATTAGTACAGTTTCAGTTCTTTTTATTAGCACTGATCACTGTATTAGTGTCATAGGAATGTCAGTGGCAGTTAGTAAATTCCCCCAGTGTCAGAATGCCTGCCACAGTCCCACTATAAATCGCCGATCGCTGCCATTACTAGTATTACAAAAAAATTTAAATAAAAATTCCACTATATATTACCACCATTTGTAGACGCTATAACTTTCATGGAAACCAATTAATTTACACGTATTGGGGTTTTCTGTTAGCAAAGACATGTAGCAGAATACATTTTGGCCTAAATTTATGATGAAATTTAATTTTTTAAATTTTTTTACTGGATGTTTTATAGCAAAAAGTCAAAAATATTGTTGTTTTTTTTTTCAAAATTGTCAGCCTTTATTTGTTTGTAGCACTACAAATAAACAATGCAGAGGTGATCAAATTGCACTGAAAGAAAGCTCTATTTGTGGGAAAAAAAGGACATAAATTTCATTTGGGTGCAGTTTTGCATGACCGTGCAATTGGTCTGGTTAGGAAGGGGGGGTTAATCCTCTGGAGGGCAAGTGGTTAATGCCGCTTCACTTCCGCCAGGAGAATGGCATTCAGTGGAGCATATGCCTTAACAATGAGGCCTTAACTTTTTTGATCTCTTGAGTATTTATTTCAGTTATCTGTACAATGGTACAATAATATGTACAGTTTGGACCATGTAGCATCTGATAAAACTTACAAGAGGAACCAATTACACACTATCACTTCCCATCTGATATTTCTTTATTTTTATTTCTGCAGCATGTGTACTTGTATGTACTGTGTACTGTATAACTGTATGTGTATCTGCATATGTGCATGTACTGTATGTACACCTATCGGTCATAACATGACAACTGACAGGTTAGGTGAATAATATTGATTATCTTGTTACAATAGCATCTGAATGTTGGGATATATTGGACAGCAAGTAAACATGTTGTCTCTGAAGTTGATGTGTTGAAAGCAGAAAAAAAATAGGCTTTGCAATTTGTTGTGTATGTTTGTTGTGCAGATGCAGATCGGTAAAGGTGCCCATGCTGACCCATGTCCACAGCCAAAAGTGCCTACAATGGACATGAAATAATCAGGACTGTATATATATGTATATACTGTTTATGTATTACCCAGGATATTCTATTTTGTTAGACTTTTGAGTATATTGAGCACCATTACCTATTATTGTGTTTTGTTGTAGCGCTGATGGAGGAGTTTCTTTAGCCCCCGAAAATGCATTGGCTATTTTTTAGTGAAAATCAATAAATTAATTTGGACTATTTCATCAATTGGTCTGGAGCCCCTTCCATTAGGGCAGGGGTCCTCAAACTACAGCTCGCGGGCCACATACAGCTCGCCGAGGACATTTATCCGGCCCGCCAGGCAGGGATGTATCTGCCGTGAGGCAAGGGGCTAGGGTTTGGCAGGTCGGGAGAGCTTGCAGGGCTCGGACGGGAGGCAGGAGGACGGGATCAGCAATTCTAGAACAGGGGAAGGTGGGCTCGGCTTATGAACCCGCACCACTCACCTGGCCTCTCTGCAGCCAGCCGGCCATCTATTCTGATCAGTGCATGCAACCGTCACGGCCGGAGGGTGGAGCCTAGAGCTGACCATGAAGAGGGGGAGTAAGAGAGGAGACTCCATCGCTGCATGTCGGGTATCATGGCCACAGACCCTACATAAGTGCAATAGATGATCGATCTCCTCCCTCTCTCTTTCCCCTGTCTCTCCCTCTCCCCCTCCCCCTCTCTCTCTCCCCCCCTCCTTGCTCTCTCCCCCTCCTCTCTCTCCCCCTCTCTCCCCCTTCTCCTCTCTCTCCCGCCTCCTCCTCCTCTCTCTCTCTCTCCCCGGGGTCTCTCTCCCCCTCCTCTCTCTCTCCACCTCCCCCCTCCTCTTTCTCTCTCCCCTCCCCCTCCCTCTCTCCCCCCCCTCCTTCCCTCTCTCCCCCCCCTCCTCTTTCTCCACCCTCCTCTCTCTCTCTCTCTCTCTCTCTCTCTCTCCCCCCTCCTCTCTCTCCCCTCCTTATCTCCTCCCCTCTCTCTCTTTTTACATTGTACACAGATCTAACCCAACAAGGTGTCCTGCATTTACCGTATATTTTGCTCCATAAGACACACTTGGGGGGAAATGTCTGTGGGTCTTATGTAGCGGCTGGCCCAGTATTCCCGCCGCCGTTGTATATCCGCAGTCTCTGGTCATCTCATGTACTATGTCCGCAGTCTCTGGTCATCTCTGTCCGCATTTGTTCATAGTTTTTTTTTTTTAAACTATAGTCTGTCTCTCCAACGGTCTGATGGACAGTGAACTGGCCCCCTGTTTAAAAAGTTTGAGGACCCCTGCATTAGGGCATAGGTTAGCACAAGCACCTTAATCCAATCATCAAGGATTGTGTTAAAGTGTTTCTAAATCCACATCAATCTAATCAGTAAAGTGAACCTAAGGGGTTAATCCTTGTGTAAAAAAGGCTGTTTGATCCTGACTTCTCTAATCCTCCCCTTCTTCTACTGTCCCCAATCCATCTGCTGATAGTACAGAGCTCTAGGAGTCACTCACAGGGTGCATGTGATCAGCACAGGGCCAATCTGCACTTTCCAGACAGAGGGCCAGGGATCATGCAGCGTCATAGGACTGTCAGAGATGAATGAAAAAACTCCTCCTACAAGATTAACCAGTGCGCATATATAAGGATAATGAGTCTTTTGAAAATGTAAGTTTTTGACACAAGTTTTTGGAAAATGAAGGAAAGAAAGTATTCTTATACACAAAGTTGTCAATTAATCCTAGATTGTAAACTCCAAGGAGCAGGGCCATCCTTTCCCTCTTGTATTAAACTGTATTGTTGCTGTATTGTCTCCTGTTATATTGTAAAGCGCTGAGCAAACTGTTGGCGCTATATAAATCCTGTGTAATAATAAGATATTTCTAACAAACAGCATAGGCGTACCTAGAAATACACCCAAAACACATTATGCTACTCCTCCCAAGTGTGGTGATACCACGTGTGTGATACGTTTTTGCAGCCTAGCCGTACAGAAGGGTCCAAAATCCAAGGAGCACCTTCAGACTTTCTAGGGGCATAAATTACGCATCTGACTTCCTTACTGCCTATCACATTTTTAGATGCTCTGGAGCACCAGGACTGTACAAACACCCACAAAATTACCCTATTTTGGAGAGTAAACACCCAAAGGTATATTAAAGTGTTACTAAAGCCACAACAGTAAAATCAGTCTGTATATGCAGTAAAGCATGCTTGTTATACTCACTGTGGAACCTAAGGGGTTAATCCTCTGCATTGTGTAAAAAGGATGTTTGATCCTGTCTTCTCTGATCCTCCCTTTCTTTCAGTGTCTTCCCCTTATCTCCTGATAAGACATATCATGTGGAGACACTGTACAGGCTCAGTTTAGTGCGTATTGCTAAAGAGGTTTTTTTCTCTTGGGAGAGTGCATGTGATCAACACAGGGCCAATCAGCACTTCCAGACAGAGGTCAGGGGTTCTACATCCTCCTAGAGAAAAACTCCTCCAACAAGCTTTAACCAGTGCTCTGCTGAACACTGATAGAAGGCACCTGCTGATGAGAAAAAGTATTTAGCAGTTAATATTTACTAAAATTATTGCATTTCCATGTTCTGTGTACTGTGGGAGACCAGATATAGTGAATACAGGGTCATGGGTTTAGTAACACTTGAAGGCAGATAATAATTGTCCAAAAAAAGGATGGGAGATGGGAGCGCTGTGGCATATCCTTGGTGTCAGGAAGTCTGCATAGGTTTTATTCTCTCCATTCACATTGCTGCAGGTGTGAAATGTTGTCAAATCACTGGGGGTAGAGTTAAAACTATTATATGTGGAAGACAGATAGTGCTGAAGGCCCCTACCCCTGTTATCTCTTGTTCCTGTGTGACATAGAAGGCTTCTTTAAGGCTTTTGCAAATCAACTGTCCAAAATGTTCACCTTGCTATTGTCGAAAGAATGTCCCTTTTTCTTACTGCAGCGCTACCCTGGGAGGAGCTGTTAGATTGGGTCCTTCTGCTCAGCTCCAGTGATGACCCACCCTGTACCTGGACCAGAGTAACACAGACACACCTGTATGGCCCCATTCACATACTGTATGTATGTCATGTGAATGGTCGTTTTTGCACACTTTTTTGAACAGTTTCTCACGACACACGCATAGGGCAGCCAATTCCCTTGAAAGAGCTGCCCTATGTGTGACAAACATGCAAAGAAGATCCTGTACCTTTTTGAACGATGAGCTTTATGTGCTTTTTTTACCGCGTGTTTTGTTGTGTTTGTTACACGTTCTCCCATGCGCGTCTGCCATTAACAATTGATGGCAGCAAAAGCATGATGCATGTTTTTCTCACATTTTGGTAACAAATGTAAACTCATGCTTCTACAAACATTCCCAGAATGCGTAGATGTGAATGGAGCCTAACAGTTTGCAATGGCCTTTATTGAACAGGAAAAGCCCTGGAAGGGAAGGTTGGTTAAAAATGGAACAATGGTAAAGGAAGAGTAGTCACAAGCAATGTCAATTTGATACCAACAGGATAAGAACAATGCACAATAATAGAACTGTCTTTACAACTGACAGAGATAACAACTCCACTGACAGGAGACTCAAATTGAGGGCAATGTATCTGCGAATCTTAGTCCTTGGCAAGTGGAGAATATTTATTGCTCAGTTCTGTGTGTTGAGACATTTTTCTTTACTCATGGTGGAGTACTCACTCCAAAAAATGGGAGATTTCTTATCAACAGAGTAAGAGATGAATTTAGCATGTGGGCGGTGCGGAGCTGGGGCATCCTTGCCAACTCCTCCATGCTGTAAGCCCAATGGGTTCTTGGGCTACATCAGGCAGTATGGGTGGGGTCACTCACCCTGCACATGGAGTACCTTTACATGCATGCAATCATCAATGCTTCAGGGCAAGACGGCAGCCATGTTCAGGTGAAATCAACCTTAAGGCAGGCCCCCGACTTAGAGATGAGCCATGCACAGTATGCAATGAATATACATACTGTGTCCTATGCTGTCCTGTGTCACTGCACACCTTGACTGTGAACTGTCACATTTAGGAGGGACAAGCTGCGCCTATGACCACTCCACCTGTCCAGCATACTTCTGCCACCACAGTTCCAGTGACGGAAAGGGGGTTCTGCCAGGCGGTGAGGCTGGGGGTCTCTATAACACTGGTTTGCTCCCGGTTGCTATAGGAAATGACCCATTAGGGAGTGAGCCAAAAGTAGAGATCCCTTGCTACTGGAGCATACCCCACTTTGCCCAAGTACCACGCTTAATGATGGCTGCTATTCACTTGACAACAGTCTTTTGGTTACCCGTATCAACTACTCTTTGCCTTCACTCTGATGCCGAGTTAACCTCTTGCCACTGATCTGCCTCATACCCCATATGTGCTTTACTGACCCAAGTAGTATAGTGTGTCTGCTATGTGACATCATACACCCCTTTAGTAACTTCAGACCAAGCTTAGAAACAGTTAATAAACTATACTGAAAGTCTTTTCAGCATAAAAGGCTAAGTGCAAACATAGTTCAAATAATCTCATCCCTAAATATTGTGATAGGTAGCTGCCCAGGCATACCTTAAAAAGCAGATAGTCCATACACTGGTGAAAGTCTATACTTGGCTGTGCCATCGATAAGTCGGCATCTTTGGACAGACTGCAGAGCCAGCAGTCCCTCTCTGTGAAGGACTGCCTGGCATCCTGCTTGGGTGCTTCCATAAAAGAACTGCTTCCTCACTGCTGGAACACAGGAACAAGGTATAATAGCTGGGCATTGCACCAAAGAGCTAGACGACACTAGCTTAGGTGCAACTGAAACTATTTATTGAACAGAAATATAGGTTTTTATACACTTCAGAAATATGGGCAGTCCCTACATGAACAATAAAAACAAATATTACACATTGGGATAAACATCCCACACTGATTAGGTAATGAGGTCATGTTAACACAAGACTAATCGCAATATGTAGGAACCTCCAGGAAGACTAGCCAACAGACAGAAGCAATAGGTGACTCAATTAACAGTGGGGCAAAGACACAATGGTAAACACATCACACCGTAATAAACAGATTACAGCAAGAGACCTCAGCATCAGGTTGTTTAGAGCTGATTATATTAACATCTGCTTAGAGTCTCTGAGCCTAGGAGGAGGGTTGAAGCAGTCAATGCTGGCTTGGGCACAGAGACCCCAAATCTTTATCCTGGTCCTCCAGTTCTCAGAGTCTATGTATTCTGGGGAGACGTGGACTTGAATCTGAAGTAAAACTACTCCAAAAGGTCCCCCAGGCACAAGCCTCCCAAAGAATAGAGCCCCCTCAAACGCCAGGACCCATAGTTGGTAGGCAAGAAGCTAGCCTGCAGTCTCCTCCAAAAGCCCCTGTCCCGGGGGGAAAGGGGGGGGTCTGTCACACCCACCATTGAACAATGTCACAGAAATCTAGCATGCAGGTCCAAGATTGAAGGGCTCTGTGGCTGGATGTAAATGATTACATCTTCTGTCAGCCTCCTCTATTCCCATAAGTCTAGAGCAGAGCCCTCCCCCTTTTTATAACAGCACAGGGAGGGAGGCAGAGCCCAGAAAGAGCATTAAGACTTACATAACCTGGGCAGACTAGCTAGCTCAGCTAACACAGAACCCACACCAGTAGGCAACCTGCCTACAAGCAGTCCCTTCTAGCAAACAGACCTCTGAACACAAATGGATACCAACAACAACAAGCAATATAATAGGCTTCTCACCACTCTGGAACTTGGGTGTTCTCTCAAGTCCTCTCAGATACACTCCAACGATGGAAAATCCCACACTCAGCATAGATAAAGACAGAACTGGGCCTCCCTCCCAAGCCTGTACCCCTAGATCTCTCCATCGTGGTCAGCAGCAGCTCCGTCTCCAGCACAATTCTGCAGTTGTCCCTGGGCTTTCTAAATGGTTAAAATGTCCCTAAACCCACTTCATAAAAAACTACAAAAAATGGTGTACTACTTGCTGTTAATACTCACTCGGTCACTATGAGATTTGTTTTCTGTATTCTCCAAAAAACTTGGTTGATCCTGCTGTTCTCTATCTCCCCCTTCTGTCCAAGTCCCTAGTTCAGCTAAGGATTTTACAAAGCAGTGTTGGCAACTCTGCACATGCTCAGTTTTCAGTGAGGTTCTATGCTGAGCATTTCCTCCCTATCACATATGAGTAGCCCATGTGTCACACATGTGGGCGTATACATAGTGGTAAATGACAGCCCACTCCCTCCCTCCTCCTCCATGCCCACTAACCAGCTAAATACAATGGGGGTGGGATATTACATCTTGACCTTCCTCTTATTCTAAGACACAAGCTGGAGGGGCATGACACAGGCTGTGACTGCCAGAAATCCACTCACACCATGTTATTGCCAAAAAATAAAGATTTGATTTCAAATATATATTTGATGATGATTTAAAACAGTTTATTGATATTAATTATTTATTTTTACTCTGTATTCCAAAGGCTGTTTTTTTTTAACATATGACCAGAGGACTAGAGCTCCTCCTGCCACTGTTTCCCTGCAGGCAGGCTGAGGAAGAGCTGGGTTAGGTGACAGCTGTATATTTATTAGGAAAAAGGTACTTTAGATTTTTTTTTTTTTTAATATAATAATTACAGTGCTATCATCCATATACAGAAATAGAAGGGACAATGTAAGTTAAACAGTGTGTGTTTAGTATCATTTTAATTTACAGCACATCAGCAGCAGTCCTGCCCTCCAGACTCATTGTGATTAGTAGCAGAGGCAGCTGCCTGTACACAGGTCCCCAGCTACACGTGTGTTCCATTGACTCCATCAGCTGTCCTGGCTCTCTCACCAGACTCCCAACAGCCTAACTCCAGCAACTCAGCCCCAAGACTTCTCCACTAGTGATCTGCCGAAAACCCCTGTGTTCGGTTGGTGGTCGAATATTCCAACCTAATGAATGTTCGACTGTAAACTTCGAACTTAATGCAAGTCTGTGGGACTCAAACTTGTAAGTTCAGTGCCCATTTTGAAGGCTTATATGAAAGTTATTGGCCATAAAAGGGGTATGGGAACTCGGGTACTGCCCTGAGGGCTATGAATCAGTGAAAAAAATGCATTTCCAAAAGTACAGTTTTTAAAGGGCAATAATTTTTCACTGCTTAAAGTAAAAAAAATGAAAAATGAAAAAATTCCTTTAAATAGCATTCCTGGGGGGTCCCCTTTAAACTGCCTGCAAAGTTGCACATCTGTACAATGTATAGAACCTGTTGCAGCAGGACTGACATTTACAAAAAAAACACTGTGGGGTCCCCCCTCAATCACCCTAGGAATGTTAGGAGGGACCCCACAGTATTTTTTTTTTTCAGTGTATGGGCTTCCCCTTAGGCCCTTTAGGACTGGTAGGGATTTTAAGGGGAACTC